AAGGTTACAATATAAAAGATAAAAATTCGCTTGAAGATGTTAATAAATAATCCGTAAGAGTAATAAATAGTGCTGGGTGTGCGTGCCGTCCCGAATCAGTGGTGGAAATAACATCAAACACAGCCATGTGTACATCTGATCGTGAGGCGTTGCTCGGGGTGACAATGCTTCCCTTCGCTCCACGAAACACCGGCGAAAATGATTCACAAGTACCTTCATTGATCAAAGCCATTTCCCATTCTCCTTCAGACAAGACCTCAAAATTTCATCCTCAATCTCGCCAAGATGTGCTTCTCCCACGACAAGAATTAAGGTGGGTACGAGCGGAACACTGACGAAAGACCAAGATTAGCCAAGGTCTAGCAACTCCGCTCTCATCTGCCCCGTACCAAAGGACACGATACATTTATGCCGTCCTGCCGCCAAATGCTGCTCAAGCCCTTGGCTGATGACATCGCTACTTGGGGCCTCAAGGCTGAACATGAAAAACTCTTCCAGCATGCTCGCGCTGATCCGAAGCAGGACGACGCCATGTCGATCACGCAAGACATGGCATTATGAGTTGGTTGGTTTATTGCTCATGCAACACCATGTGGCATGGCTCATGTGTACTGTAGGGACAAGTGGATCGATAAAATTCAAGCTCAACTATATGCTACCAACGAGCGTGACGGCTGAATCGTATCTTGGCTCGATATTATTGTGAGAAACCAGGAGGCCCAACGATTTCCCTGGGCGGTATAAGTCAGGTCTCTCGCCATGCCACCCCTTGTCGTTCCCCGTCCCTTGTTCTTCTGATGCGGAATATTCGTTGAGTTATTGACGACCTTTGACCACCAAAATGAATACGCTCAAGCGAATTGGGCGTCTGCTTGCTCCCGCTCCAGACAAATCAGATGATGGACGTGATCAATGGCCATCACGTGCGGCTTTCCTTCTTGCAAGCATGGGTGGCTGTGCGGGAATGGGGAATCTCCTTCGGTAGTGGAAATCCGAGTCTCAACATGTACACGAGCTAATCGTCGAGCTAGATATCCCTCAGTGGTATACAACAATTATGGGCTTCAATGGTTCATTCCATACTTCATTGCGGTTTTCATAGTTGCTATTCCGGCTCTCATTCTTGAGATCTCGATAGGCCAAGCATATCGAGGTGGAGCTGTGATCGCTTACAACAACATGAACAAGCGTCTGAGAGGCACTGGGTTGGGTCTTCTCTTCATCGGCTGGTTTGTCAATCATTACTTTGTGGTGATTCTTTCATGGATCATGAACTACTTCCGGAACTCGTTCACAAGCCCACTGCCTTGGACCGGGCGAGGTGATGAATTCTACGCGGAAGTTGTTGGCAACCCCGATCCTATCGCCGGCAGCCTGAGCGAGAATGGCTCCCAGGTCCTTGCATATACTTCTTATCCAAGCACTGCTCTCATTGGGGAAACCGTTGGGTGGACCGCGTTCATCTGGTTTCTTTGCTGGATCAGCATATTTCGTGGTGTGGGTCTTACTGGGAGAGTTGTTTACTTCACAATGGGATTGCCCTTGGTGATTACCGTTATTCTCGTGGGGAGAGGGGTCTCTCTCGAGAACGCTGGCGCTGGAGTGAAGCTATATTTTGCCACATGGAGAGGAGGTGAGCTTGCGAAAGGGCAGGTGTGGCAGACCGCCTGTGGACAAGTTTTCTTTTCTACTGGAGTAGGCTTTGGTAGGTTGCTAGCCCTGATTTGTGTGGTCCTTCGGCTGATAATTTTAGGTTACTTCACCTCCTACGCATCCTACAACCAAAAGCATTCGAACGCAGTTATGGATGCCATACTTATTGTTTGCAGCAACGTTCTCTTCGAAGGCTTCGCTGCCTTCGCAGTTTTCGGTGTCGTCGGCTATCTACGTCTCTTTCCTGAGGAAGGTACTCGATTGGGTAGCTTTGTGGTCGGTTTTCTTACCTTGCCTCTCGCGATCACCGAGATGCCTGGCGCCAACTTTTGGGCGGTGGCTTTGTTCTTTACGCTTGTGGTGTTGGGTTATAGCTCAGCCTTTGCTATGCTTGATGCGATTGCCACACTCGTGATGGACTCAGGTACAAGATTCTCTCGACCGGTTGTCGTCACTGCTCTGGTTGTTGTCTCCTTTCTGTGCTCACTGCCATACTGCACTGAATTTGGATACTACTTGCTCGATGGGGTTGATAGATGGATCAATGACGTTGCACTCATATTTGTCGTCTTTGCTGAGTGTGCAAGCAGCACTACGGTCTACCGCTGGAAGGATGTTGTCGCAAATGTGGGGCTTCCCGCATGGATTGTTTATAACTCTGGCTACTACGGTGGTCTGGTCTTCGGCGTTGCTGTTGCACACGCTGTTTCTCCACCAGCTGGTGCTGGTCTTGGCTTTGGTCTATACATCGGCGGATCAATTATCTCGACATTGATTGCGAAGACTCCCAGCTCTGCAGCACCCAGATTCTGGTCTCGAAATGTTTACGTCGCCAGGTTTTGGTATGTTGCGTTCTACTCAGTAAGTTGGCCAGCACTTTTTACTCGACTCAGTCGACTAATACTTGAACAGGGCAATCAATTAAGGCGTGATTTGAATGTGATTGTTGGTGCAGGTCGAAACTGGAAGATTCCCACCTTCTGGCCAGTGTTACTCCGTTACATAAGCGCGCCAATCCTCGCCATTATCTTCGGGTTTGCCTATCCAGCATTCTACCAGCTACGATACGACCCACTACACATTATCGGCTTCACTCTAGCCCACTTTGCACTCGTTATAATCACGCTGGGCTTTATTCTTCCTCGGTGGTATAATGTTTTCGTTCCTCTTCATCGTCGTGACGACGGGAGTCAGCCAACCGTTGCCAACGTTACCAAAGGGGAAATGGAGGGTGAAAGAGACCAGAATGTGGAGCGGCACTTGGATTCTAGTAGTTCCACTCAAGAAAAAGTCGAAAAGAACGTTTCCGAGCCAGTTATGGTTTAAGTAGTTATCTCTCTACAGAGGGCTATCGAACGAAGCATCCTGCTCTGCAAAGGAGCTCTATTCGTCAAAAATGAGGATAAGAGCATGAACACGGGATGTCTAGTTCCATGAGATGTCAGAAATAATGTCGCCGCTCAAGCACCTCAGTCAAAAACATATCTCATGCTCCCCGAGTTTCAAGTACATTATCAAAGAACGTGATGGGAGAATAGAAGCCAGAGGGGGAGTCTGATGAATCTTTCCGTTAGTTACAATCGGCATGACTGAGTGTACTCCTCACATTGATTGCTGAGCGTTGTGCCAAACTCGTTCAAAGGTATGGCATCGAACTCCGTTAGAAAGTCGTAAGAGGTGGGCGCGTCGTCATCCTCAGCAGATGCTTCCGTGATTCCAAGGACGATGCTCAGAGCTTTCGCTACTTTTCCAGCTTCCGGAGATGTTGTACTCATTTGAAGCCAAATCTTGCGCGAGCTAGTCAGTCGTTCTCGGATCTCTTCACGCCTTGGCGACCACGGTGTCAATCCTACGGTCTCTGGAAATTCGAATCTATCGACGTCTTGAAGGTAGAGACAAAGCACGCTCGTTGCGAGAAGAATATCAGAGTTGAAAATATGGGTCACCTTCCATCGAAGCTGACACAAACGACCAAATGGCTGAGACTCTTCGTGAAGCATCGTTTGGAACGATAGAATCTTGAGTGCGGAATCTAGACAAATTCCCACCGACTCCCTGTCCTGCTCTTGGGACTGTCGAACTGGATAGCCGATCAAAGCCCTCCGGTAAAGGAGAATGCGTGATTTGTGGTAGGTCGTTTCTACACTTACTCGATGTACCACCATGTTCGGACTGTCTGTGATAGGGTGTGGTGTATCTTGCCAGCGCAGCAAGGGCGGGATACCACGATTGTACACGTCTCCAAGAAGTGCGTCGATTTTGACGATCCTTTCGTGGGAAGGTGGATTAATATCGGTATTGATGTCACTAATCAAGCCGAGAGCAGTTATCAGTCGCCCTCTTGTAATGAGAGGAAGCACTGGCGTCCATTCCGTTTCTGGCCTTTGGGGAGGTATCTCGATCGTGTCCTCTTCAAAATCATAATCATGAAGATTACGTGGCTGTTTTGTGTCGATATTAGTGTCTGTGGCACTTCTAGGAAGGCCCATCTCTAAGGCGAGGCCGAGATCTAACACAAGGATTGTAGCCCAGATGCGTCTACGCATCTCACCTTCGAAAGGAGATATTCGCGGAAAGTGATCTGGGTCTCGGTGATAACCCATCCGCGTTGCAATTTGGAGTATCATACTGATTAAAAGCCAGCCGTCGGTACCGCTTTCTTTCAAGAGTATCGACTCTCCGATAAGGACCAGGATGAGGTTCTCCAGGACATATGGTCCTCCGGTCGTATACTTAGCCAACATAAGACACTGAACGGCCTTCTCCCGGAAGTCATACTTCTTGGTGAGACATTCCGCCTTGAGCGATTCGGCTCGTCCATCCGTGAAATCAATGGCGAAGATCTGCAACTGCGCAGAAATGTGTAACATGGAGAACATAAGACCAATCCAAGCGATAGAAGTTGCGGACGGATCTTCCCAGAAAGCTTCATACTGGTTATTCGTCAGACTGCTTGTTGTCGGCCATGTTAGAAAGAACCCACCTCTCGGAGAAATTTCTTACCATGAATGAAATCTATCGCATACAGTCAATCTTTTGAGAGTGGAAAGAAAGGTTGAATATACTGACACGAAGTGACAATGTAGGAATCGAAGTGAAGGGCCACCAAGCGGTCAACAACTGGACGAGGAGGAATAGCGACCACTATCTCATCTCGAGTTGCATGGCAATTCGGGCCATAGAACAAGTGTGAACCAGGTCTAGCCTTGCTGTCAGTCACTAAGTCCTCCTTCAGTCCTCTAATCTTGGTGAGAATGGCCTCCCAATGAGCACTCTGGACATAGCTGGTTCCAGATTCGCGCAATTTTAGGGTTCCAGGGTCTGCCAGAGATTCAGCGTCATCTTGGGGTTTCCTTCGTCTCCAGGTTTCAGACAACACATCTGCAATTGATAACGAGCTTGATTCCAGATGTTTCGGTGCGAGCGAACTTGCCAGCGGTTGTCCTTCCATGAGCATCACGACCAGACTCTCCAGTTCAGAGACTCTGCTGTGGAGGCTGTTTGACTGTCGTGAAGCAACAGATCGCTGAGCATCGGGTGTAGAAGAAGATGATGTTGCATAATTGCAGGAGTTAGCGAGGCCACGCTTTGAGCAAGCTCCGCATGGCTGATGTCGATCGCATCTCAGCCTGCCAAAGTTAGACGTACAGGACCCTGCAATAGAGTCCGAGTACATACTTTCGGTGTCTACAAGGGTTGCAGGAGAGCTGGACTTTGTCTCTACGTCGACTTGGTGGTGGACGCGGAGGTGGAGCATTCTCGGCCATGATGCGAATGGAGTGAAGACGTCGCAAGTCCAACCTCATACACGGAGATTTGGGTTTGGTTAAGCGCAACTTCTTTTGGGATCACTCTCGAACAATTTTCAGCCATTTCAAAGAAGCGAAAGCAGATATCTGGCAGTGCAAGCCGAGAGGCCATAGAGAAAGCAATGATCGTCCGATCGTCCGACCATCCGACCCTCCGCGTTTTCTTCTCCTGAGCCTATGTCCAGTTTGGACTCCGCACTTACGGACTTTGCGGATTTACTGGGTTGACACCATTAGCCTCCTCCAGAACTATATTATCAAGCAAAGCCTGGTGATATCAAATAAACACACGCCAATATATCAGACCTATAACAACCTCGACAGTACACCATGGCGACTGATCTAGAGTCCTCCTATGAGAAGGCTCCTATTTCAGGGGACGGCCACCATGACCAACACTTTAGCGACTATGGCAAAACACCAATTGAACGAGAGACAAAGGACGGTCGTGTTGACTGGGACGGGCCGGACGATCCCCAGAATCCGCGGAACTGGCCAGCGTGGAAACGTATGACCCAAGTCATCCTCGCCAGCGCTTTCCTGCTGACGGCGTAAGGCGGCTCCTACGCTCCTTTGGCGAGACTATCCGACACTGACTAAAGGCATAGTAACCTCGCCGCGACAATGTTTGCTCCTGGAGCTGCCGCGCTTGCTAAGGATTTCCATATCACGAATTCCACCCTCGTCAGTCTTACCGTATCTATTTACCTCTGTGGCTTCGCTCTTGGACCCATGTTCATTGCACCGCTTTCTGAATTGTACGGACGCCTTGTGATCTACCACACCTGCTATGTTTTTTACTTAGGCTTCATTCTCGGGTGTGGACTGAGCAAAAACACCGGCATGTTTCTCGTGTTTCGATTCCTTGCCGGATGCGCTGCATCGGGTCCATTGACAGTTGGCGGAGGGACCGTCGCCGATGTCATTCCGCCGGCTCAGCGTGGGAGAGCAATGTCTCTATTCTTCATGGGACCACTTCTAGGACCAGTAGGTGGTGTTGACTTACACAGACCTTCATGAAACTGACGATCCTTCAAGGTCCTGGGGCCAATTATCGGTGGCTTTGTGTCCGAATCAATCGGCTGGCGGTGGACCTTTTGGCTCATCGAAATCCTAGTAAGTAGAGGGCCGAACCTATTATTCTTAAGCCACTGACGCTTCGAACTAGGCAGGGGTATCCTTTGTCATATCAATCTTCTTCCTCCATGAGACGAACGCCACCGTGCTGCTAGAATGGAAAGCTGCTCGTCTGCGGAAAGAAACTGGCAATACTGCTCTGGTTTCGACAATGGATCAAGGCCTGACCCCACGCCAACTATTCCTCCGTGCTATTATTCGACCAACAAAGCTTCTCATTCTATCACCAATCGTGCTCCTCCTTTCTCTCCTGTGCGCTTTCGTGTTCGGTCTCCTCTTTCTGCTGTTCACCACGTTTCCAACAGTCTTCGAGGAGCAATATCACTTCTCCGCCGGTGTTTCTGGCTTGTCATATCTCGGCGTTGGAATTGGAATGCTTAGTTCCCTCGCCATCTTTGCCACTGTGACCGACAAAATGCAAAAGGCACTTGGAGAATCCCCCAAACCTGAAGCACGCCTAAAGCCCATGATATGGGTCATGCCCGCCGTGCCCGTTGGCATCTTCTGGTATGGTTGGACAGCCGAGAAGCAGACTCATTGGATCGTGCCCATCATTGGCACCTGCTTCTTTGGATTCGGTGTTCTCTGGGTTGCATTACCCGCTCAGCTTTATATGGTGGATGTTTTTGGCCCTGAGGGTGCCGCCTCTGCATTAGCTGCGAACGTGGTTCTCCGACTTCTTGCAGCAGCTTTCATTCCATTGGCAGGGCCTTCTTTATATGCTGATCTGGGACTTGGGTGGGGAAACAGCGTCCTAGGCTTCATAGGCATGGCTTTCCTTCCAGTCCCACTCCTCTTCCATCGCTACGGAGGGTGGCTCAGGGAGAGTTTTCCTGTGAAGCTATGACATTTCATATCAGAGGGTGATGCTTTGAAGCGTCGCCTATATGGAGAGGGTCGGCGATCACCCTGTTGCGCCATGCAAGTGATTATATCTGCCGACAAAAAGGAGGAGAGCAATATTCGACCACCACTTCTAGTCTCATACCTATATGAGCAATTGCCAAAAACAATCGACAGCCAGGATTCGTGAATCGTCACCGACTTCACTACTGACTGACCGGCATCTGGCTTAAGTACCGCTGAGCAAACGGGAAGCGCTGTTTTCCAGATCCTATGGTCGATTGTGGTAGACTCCTGGACAGATAAAGATTATGTGCTAAGTCAACGACGATAACTGGTGAGGACTCTGAAGGGATATCAGCTTGTCTTTACTAGTCAGGGGGCGGCAACTACACAAAGTGAAGCAGTGAGGTACAGACGATCAAGATACACAATGTGCATGATCACGATAATACATCAAGATGTAAATTTCTACTCCCGTCAATTTGAGCCTGCTCGCAAACGTCATTAGTAGTCCAAGATCGATCTACTGTGTAGCGCATAAACTCCAAAGTTTTGATAGCTGAATAAAAGATTGTGTGGTTTGTTGCGGCTCTTGTTAGGCACGTCATTGCGGCTGTACCCGTGTCGGATATCAAGCCCGGGAGCGCCACCTTCAACTTCAACTTGGACTTCCGTGGACTTCCTACTGCTACGGCAACTTTGAGATGTCAAAATGTTAATAGCTTGTCCCCTTTGCTAAGAGGAATTGGGGGCTTTAGAGCTTACAAGAAGATCGAAAAGACGAAGTAGCGAATAATGGCCGGCCATGCCCATGGCTCAATCTGAACATTGGCATTTTTGAGGTCGATGACTGTGGAGCCCCAGTGACAAGGTTGAAGAAGGTGGCGACATGTGTGACACCGCTCTCATGCTCATCACTCGGACTGGAGAACAAATCTCTAGTCCGGGGGATATTGCTTCGGATCTATCGGGATCTTGTGGCATGTCGTATGAGAGCAGAAAGCCCCATAACTGGTGAACATGGAGCAAATTCTGTGTCAAAGCGTCATGATCTGATCATTATGTCATTGATGCTATTGGATGATACACAGTCCTGGATCTACAGGTCAGCTATATATCGAATGGAGGTACAATAATACCGGTGTGGCCGGGAACTTCATCTCGTTCAATCCACCACAGCCTTTCGAGCGGCCTCCACAAGACGAAGAATGTCGTCCCAGGCTGATACCGTGCAAAGCAATGGGCTGGAAGCTCATGGCCACCTTGACGATGGACGGGTTCATCAGTGGAGAGGACCGTCCAAGAGAGGCGCCTTTCGCGCCATGGTGCAGGATTTCAGTCCCTTGTGGTAGGTCAAATGTTGCAACTTATTGAAGGCACACTGTTCTAACACCTGACTGTAGGTTCACATGGTGCATGAATGCAGGAATTATCGGTAAGAGGCTCATTCTCCGCGTCTAATTGCAGTGTCTAACAACTTCTCTTAGCTATATTGATGCATCAGGAACCCTATCAATTCTGGGGACTCGGCGTACTCTCGACCATTGCATTCCTGGCTGATTTTGTTTTCTTCATCTTCTTTTCAATTATTATGTTGTTACGACTGATCTTGTTTCGACGACAAGCATATCACGAATTGGTTGGTGATACATCCGAGCTAACACTACTCGCGTGTTGGCCGGTTGCATGGCTGACTCTTACGGCGTTTGTCGCTCTCAATGTCAGCGGATCGAGCTGGGGAGGCCACCATTTTACTATTGTTGCATATGTCATGTGGTGGATAGGGGCAGCATGGATGCTTGCAACACTCTTATTCGTCTTCATTGCATTGATCCGGCGCAGGACTCTGGCGGAGCAACCACTTCCACCCACGATACTCATTCCTACTGTGGGTCTCACTACCGTCGCCACTATCGGGGGCGTGGTCTCAACCTATTCAACCGCAATATCCGCAAGAATGGCAGTGCCGGTGATAATCACGTCCTTCTGTTTCGTCGGGCTTGGACTGTTCATGGCACTCATTTTCTACGCCCAGATCCTGCAGCAACTACTCCATAAAGGCTGGCCGCAACCCGAACAGACCGCAACCCTTTTTGTTCTGGTGGGTCCCATGGGACAAGGTTCGGCGGCATTGCAGCTTCTCGGCTCGGCCGCAAGCACGTACGGGAGATTTGCCGGCTATAACAAGGGCAGTTTTCTCACAGAGGCAGCAGGACCACCCCTTGAAATGGCTTGCGTGTTGATTGCCTTACTATTGACCGGAATCTCGGTCATTGGGCTTGTTTTGGCATTATATGCCATGTTCGAACGGGCATTCAACAAGGAACTGACTTGGGCTCCCACATGGAATAGCATCATATTCCCGACCGGTACCCTGGCGACATCCTTTTTGTATTTCAGCATGGAAATGGACTCACCATTCTTCCGGACCATGATGACTATCCTTCTTTTGTTTATGATTTCAGTGTTCTTCCTAAATCTGGCTTTCACAGCATGGAAGATTTCACAAGGCCAGATTTTGGTGGTAAGAGAAGACCCTCGCATGAAGCAAGATGGAGATGATCAAAAGCAGCGATAGTATATCCATCGACATCATGATTCAATGCATCCAGCCTCATTTCCTTGTGGATGAGGCATTGGGTAAGTAATCAGGGATTTTGCTCCAGATGTATTAGCGCTAGAATAGAGTCCAGAGCTGCTCGCCGTTGGATTTGTTAATCAAGGTATTTGTTTATGCAAATGCACAACCTCAACCGAGCCTAATCTCTAGAAGCGAAGGATCACACGGGGCTCCAGTACCAGACGAGGCTGGGTTAAGCCCTTTTCGACGCCCTAGAATTCAAACTTCTCGCATGCGCACTTACTAGGTATGACAAAATGTGTCGACTATCTGATGGTATTCATGGAGTTTACTTCCCCGGTCAACGTACCGTCCGTCATAAATATGTGCATCGGTTGCAGAGTTGCATGTCTTAATGCCAAGTATTGGCTACCACTGATAAGGACTTGTCCGCTTGCTATCTTTTCTGCGTTATCTATACTAAACTTTTAATATGACGCATTTCCAAGGCGCCTTTTGTACACTTGCATGTTTGAGAGCTAGCGAAACTTCTTATCGCACATGGTAAACTACAGCGCTGCGAAGCAATGTACCGCACAGGGTTGCATATCTGGACCATTTGCTGTAATTGTAACGAAACATGACCTGGTTCATCTGCACCGTACGCCTTGGCTGTGGGGTGAACTGTGCTTTATCAGCTCCGTTGAGCGGCTCGCTTGCTGATGCAATGCAGAATGTCCGTTCGTGTGAAAGGACTTAGGTGTTATATGGTGTCATTCGGCAATGGAAGATAGGCATGATACTCGAGAAGCGGCCTCAGTCGAAAGTACTTAACCTGGACTCCAGAGCGACCCTGGAAACGACTTCTCCAGCATCGGCCTCTATCGACGTCCTACAAGTTGGTTACCCCATACCAGGCAAGATGCTTTCATTCAAACTTGTTCTAAGCTTTGTGATTGCTGCTACAGCCTCCCCAATCCTTCACTTGAGTCAATTGCTCCCACGTCAGGATATTGAGACACCAATAAATGGATCCTTGCCGAACGTGACCATCTTCGCCACGGGCGGCACAATCGCAAGTCAAGGAACCTCGAATACACAGACAACAGGGTATAGCGTCGGACTAGGAGTGCAACAACTTGTCGATGCGGTGCCTGAAATCTTGAGCTTCGCGAACATTCGTGGCTACCAGGTATCGAACGTTGACAGCGGCTCCGTGAATCAAACCATTTCTCTCAAGCTCGCCCGACTCATCAACGAGGAACTTGCCCGTGATGATATCTCCGGCGTGGTTATCACACACGGGACTGATACTCTTGAGGAGACCGCCTTCTTCCTGGATCTAACCATCAACTCCACAAAGCCGGTTGTCGTCGTTGGGGCCATGAGACCAGCTACAGCCCTGAGTGCGGATGGTCCATTGAATTTATATCAAGCCGTTACCTTGGCAGCGTCTCCAAACGCCGTGGGTCGTGGTGCCATGATCTCTCTGAATGAGTAAGTAAAGTAATCACTCGAAACAGTTTATTCCAATTTGCTGACGGACGCTCGCCAGCCGCATCGGAAGCGCTTTCTACACGACCAAGAACAATGCGAATTCGCTAGATACGTTCTTCAGCACCGAGGCCGGTCAGCTGGGCTTCTTCATCAACCAGGTTCCATACTTCTACTATGAGCCCGCGGTACCGATCGGCAAAACCCACTTCGACCTCAGTGGTGCAGACTCCCTCCCGCTTATCGACATCCTGTATGCTCATCAAGACATGGATCCCGAGCTATTCAATTCGACCGTTGAGCACGGAGCGAGTGGAATTGTCTTGGCCGGGGTTGGCGCGGGAGGAATGTCACGGGTAGCAGCGGCAGCTGCAGAGGCAGTTTATAACGCAACTGCAATCCCCATGGTTGCTAGTCATCGGTCGCCGGACGGCTTTGTACCGGCAGATGAAGATGCATTCATTGTTGCGAGCGGTTTCCTCAATCCACAGAAGGCACGAATTCTGCTGCAGTTAGCGATACAGGCAGGGTATGACAACGATGATATCAAGAATTTGTTTGCTCGTGGCTATCCTAGTCCATAAGGTGGTATGACGTTATCCCTTGGAAGGAGATCATGCCTGACAAAAGCTGCTTTAATAAAACTGTTCCGAATCATTGAGCCACATCTCGTCTACATCCTCATACCACCGTGCCTTCTGATCCCAATACTCTACCCCAGTCAGGACTGTGCAATTTTCCTCTCCTGACCCATGCTCTTCCTTTCCGTTGGTACAGAGAACCTTGACTTTTCGACCCTCGATCCAAGGTGGGGAGTATACGGGCCCATCCCATGGCCTGCTCCAGTCTCCACCCCAGAAGGTCACATTAGTGAGCTCCTCGCCAATCTTCTTAGCTCTAAGAAACTTGAAGACCTCTAGAGTCGATGTCTCGTTGATGTACGGCAGCAGGTATTGATCCCTCCCTTTGCAATTCGGATCTTCCACGTTGTAATGGCCATTGTCAACTTTCTGCTTACGGCACATGGAGGTGATGTCCAGCCATAACTCTGCAGTTCGTAGTGAAGGGATCTGGGAAATGGCAGATAGCTCTTCGAATAGCCAAGTCCCGTTTCGCGCAATATTGAGAGACAGGTGAGTGAGATTGGGCATATGCTTGAAATGCTCTAGCTCAGTGGCTGTGTATGCCGGACTTTCCACGAGAGTCGTCTCCACCGTGTGCAAATCGATATGTTGCAGTGAATCGCCCTGGACCTCCCGCAAGGCGAAGGGTGTTTTCCGATTGAAGCTATCGATCGAGGTCAGATGTGTCAAGGAATGGCGCTCAACATTCAGCAGGAACTGAAGTGTCGACCATGGTTGTCCCCTGCCAAGTTCCACGCGTCGAAGCCCCGGCATGACGCCCTGTGTTGAGTTCAGGAGAGCTGAAACAGTGTCTGGTTGTTGATGACCGAGGAATGCAAACTCCTCCACTTGACTCCAGTCCATCGCGTCAAGCCAGAGCTGAATGTTGTTCTTTTCTCTTTGCTCTCTGGGAAGCATGTGGTACCTCAGGGCACGCATGGCGTTACCAGAGAACACCCAGTCCAAAGACTTCTCATACCATGGAAGATATGAGCCCTTTGGCCACCCAGTTTCGTCTACCGGGCGGTCATCAAATCTATATCCCTCCAGACGGATCTGTCGAAGGGCGGGATAGGTCTCTCCGCCAGGCAGCGAGAAGGGAAATGACCAGCGGTCAGGCCAATTGCTGCAGCCTTGCAACGAAACCCGGAGGTCAAGGGATGTGATGTTGGGGCAAGTCGTCAAAGCGGCATGGACTGACGCCATTGTATCGAGTAACGGCTTCTTAGGTTCATCATCACGATAGTAACGACCGCCTGGAATCGAAACTTTAATGGTCGAGGGGCATTCGTCACCAGCTCTCCACGATCGTGCGAAAGTGCCGGTTACAAGAAGTAGAATCGCTAGCAGCATCAAGAGAGTCCCCGGGATACTTTTGCGCTGCATACTGGTGGCCGTTACGATGTCACGAGGGAAAAAGATCCTTTGTCCTCTCAGAGCTGGTGGCGAACCTGGGAAACCGAAATGTCTTAATTGTCTGTCACTGCTCGTAGAGAGACATGGATTTCTGGTGAAAGAGTCAAAGCGATCGGTCACATCTAACTGATGATCTGTTTTCTGAAGACGTCTGCCTGGAAGATGAATAGCCGTCAATTATTGAGAAAAGTGTCCACTTTTGGTGACCAATTGAAGATTACTGCATCTCACTGCTCATCAACAAGTTCACTTGAGGACAACTGTCATTAATTTTGACGAGAACTGTTTGTGTGAAAGTGTGGAAGTAAATGAACAGAAAGCTAGTAGTTTCATACTCGAGCGTCACAGGCAGTGCTCACCGGCTTGGCTAACTTAATATGGATAGGCACAATCACACGGGATGCTTGACTTGAAGTACTTTTCGCCCCATACCCAGCCACGACTCGAGTGAAAATCAGAGGTAGTAGACCACGCAGGCTAAGCAATGAGGGTTTCTCATGTACTAACAACAGTGCTTGGGGAGAGCACCCACGAGGCTTCTCCTATTTCCCAGCCTCGTGGCATCAACATCAACAACGCCATATCTGACCCCTTCCAGGCTTCAGCCTTGCGCCATGGCTCAACCTCGGGGGACGACGTGCCTAGACATCGCATCTATTCTAGAAACGACATATAACAACCAAGTGTATTGGCACAGTTCATCTGAGTACGCTGAGACAACCTTGATGGGAGATGAATTAATCCTCCGCGCACCAAGCCCGGCTCGCAGCTTAATAAGCCCACACTCTCTTGGCCCCACTAGCATCCACAGTCCCATTGGCGTTCATTCTTCCGTATAAAAGTCTCAAGCTGAAGATGACAGCTGCAACAAAAAAGCTGCAGGCAGCACAGACAAAGTTTCCTGTTGGATAACCTTTGGTTGCTTCATCTGCTCGCCAAATCCATTGCGCTATGATTTGACCGACACCTGCACTCGAGTTATGAAGTGCTATCGCAAATGGTATAGTGAGAAGGCTGGGTGTATTGCATGTAACCCAGTTGGTCATTGAAGGGGCGACTGGGAAAGCGCCGCATGCGGCAAGACAAAGGCACCCATAACGCTTGACATATGCATCGTGAGGTAGAAGTCCCGCGGTGAGCCAACCAACCCCACCAATGATCGATGCAATGGTTATATGCGCTCCTCGAGCATTGAAGCGGTCTGCTGAATAGCTGAGGGTAATTGCAACCACAAAGCCGATACACCAGGGAGGCACAGTGAGTAGCTGAGCGTGAATTGAGGTATAGCCAAGACCTTTCACGATGGTCGGTGTGAAAAATGTGAACGATCCCTGAGGGACCACATCGGCAATCTGTGCAGAGAAGAGTCAGTCGTGACATGTGTGCGCCCAATTATCAGCTCGGTACTCACGTAGGCGATATAGTGTGCTAACATACGAGGACTGCAAATGGTTGCCAAAGTCTCCTTGCGAGAAGCGTGCTCCCTGTTATAGCCTCCACCGCGATCCTTCAATCGGTCCTCTGCAAAACGCTTATCGTCCTCGTTCAAGAACTTTGCTCGTGCAGGATAGTCCGGAAGACACAGCCACAAGGGAATTGCACTGAGCAGCGTTATAATTCCTTCGATTATGAAAAGCCATCTGAAGCCCTGGAGGCCGCCTCGTCCATTGATGTGACCCACACCATATGCTATTGCACCTCCAAAAGCACCAGCAAGATTGCAAAATGCGACCACACAGGCAATGCGAACAGCTCTTTCGTCGTGCCTGTACCAGATTGTGATGAAGTAGACAATGCCTGAAACAGGGAATTAAATTGACCGACAATTTCTGAACTGTGTGATGGACTCACCTGGAAAGAAGCCTGCTTCAAAGGCACCAATCAAAAACCTCAAGGTAACGACGGTTGCATAATTCTTAACTCCAGCAAAACCTATCGTAAGGGCGCCCCAGGAGAAGAGAAGGAATGCCAGCCAGAGAGATGGACGAACGTAATGCTTCCTAATCTCAGGTGTTCAGCGCATATATCTGACTAGGGCATGCACACTTCATACATTACCCAGTTTGATGGAACTTCGAACAAGGCGTATGCTACCGAAAACAATGTGACGGTAATGGCGTACCCGTCCGCCGTCATGTTTGTCTGCTGCAGCAAGTCGTCTCCAGTCTCTGCATTGAGCACCCTGGAATTGCCGATGTTTCCTCTATCCAGAAAATTGAGCAGATAAACCCAACAGCATAGAGGTAGAATGCGAATATCCAGACGACGATTTAGCTTTTTATTGCGCTTCTCATAGAGCTCGGCATCGCTGCGGGTCTCTTCTAGCGATATGTTTGCTGGTTTCTGTGGATCGGTGAGCAGATATTCGAGAGATAGAAAATAGACGGTCAAACCTCAGGACTTCCAATCCTACCATCTTCGAAATGCTCTGGTTGGGTAGCTTTGTTCATAACTGCAAAGATGGGCTCCCTATGAAAGCGTACTCGAGAATCTTGAGTGACAGAATATGGAATCAGTCAAAGCATCGGCAGATATATAATTTGACTGCGCGGGGTGTAGACCGACCGGTGGGGAGACCGTCATGCCCGTGTAGCCTTAGAAGTGTGAACTCATATTGGCAGAGTGTCTGAACCGCTCGTTTAGGAGGATTCGAAGTGGGAAACCCAATGAAAACCGCTTGATACCATGTTCCTCGGTTGGTATCTTGTCGTAAAGTGCCAGCGCGCGCGGGGAACCTGGTTAATCAGACTCCAAATACTCCATGTCAACAGATAGACCACCGGCAGAAATCATCTTTCTCTATGGTGATCATTATATCAGTGTCACCAGATCCGGTATGCCGATACCTCCAGCGATAAATGTATTGGTTGACTCCAATACCGAGCGTCCATGTCCTGCCTATCATGGCTAGCTGCGGGGAAGGATAATCCCTTTCTGGGGTTGACTGATGTTCATAACCCCTGGGAAAAGCAGCCTTATTGGATCGCAGTCAATAGCCGATGCCTATAGCCACGGGCATCACAGGGTTTCTCCAAATATGACTGAAGTGGAAAGTTTGGAATGCAGGCGCGAGGACTTTGGAACACCGCCGTTATCCATTAGCATCTGCCCTGCTGATTGAGCTTGTTTGAGAAGATATCCCATAGTTCTTGCAGTTTACTTACTGGCGCTTAATTGGCGGTGGCTATTGAGGCGGGTAGTTGCATCCAGCGATGCAAATGTACTTGTTTATGTAGGGTTATGGCTGTTCATCAACAAGGTCGCAAGATTCAACAAAACTCTTGCCCCAAACCTGTCTCATTACATGTTGAAGATGATCCAAGGCTTCGGAACCCCGACCATGGCCCGATCAACCAAACACCTCGAGATGCATAAGACGGACTTGGGTAAAAGGGATAGGGACATGGTGAAGGCCGTTGAAATGCAATACCTGTCATGGGGTTTCCCCAAGGGATCCTCAGTGATTTGTCGCATACATCAAAAGCATCGATATCAGTATTGACGACTGTCATGGAAATAGTCCTTTTAAGAGTGTCCAGTGGTCTCATTTTGCATCACCCAATGTTAATGATCGCAATTGCATAAACAGTAGATTGGTCGCAGGAGAGTTTTTCCGATCGCATGGTATGTAACTCAAGTCATCCAGAAAGACCAATTATCTGCGTGGACCTTTACAAGCATCAATGCTGTTGACATTTTGCCGGTGCCGGTCTCAATAGTATGGGTTCTCTGGATGGTGTCTCAGCATCTGACCTTCCGGACAAGGTACTTCCTGACTATAATCTCATCAGTGCGCACGAGCGATTGATGAGATTAGACCAAAGGGTCTGGAAGGATCTTCCCCCCTCCCCCCCCCCCCCCCCACCAAAGTTTTCGGGAAAAAAAAGGAAAAAAAAGGGGAGGGGGGAAGGGGGTAAG